TGGAGTCGTGGCTGAAACTTTGCCGACAGTCCCTCTTCGTCCTTCCTGATGCTCGCGTAGGTATACTCGGCACACCTCACGAATGCGGCGCCATCTGATCTGAAGTGCTGGCTGCTTGCCGATTCTGGTCAGCCATTAGAAATTCTCCTTTCACGTCTGTGCATGTGGCCATTCTGTGGGACGGGTCCAGCACTTTCCATACATCGGGGATCTGGGCATTCCGCGGGCATTGGACAAGGAGGCAATGACTTCAGTCGTCCCAAGGTGGCTTGTCATGTGAGGAGATCTCGGCAGACAACCAATGTACTCGAAGCCTGTGAAGTATACGTCTGGTGCCGAAAATCTAGACTCGAGCGCGATGCGGAGTCATATCTTCTAAGAAAGATGGACAAGTTAGGTCTAACGTAAAGACATCTCAGGCTGAATGCTAAGGTGGGTTCAGTAGACGGCTCCCCACAAGGAGTTGATTAGAGACCATCAGGGCACTTGGAGCGACTATTCGGCGGCATCATAAAAGTGGCCCATTGTCAAGCACCCAATGAAGAGGAGCACATGTGACCCCCATACCTTTGTTTGCTGAAATTGCATTTGCTTCAGCAAGAAGGATGCGCGTGATATTCGCCTTGATATCACAATGTGTACAGTCTGCCACTACACAGGAAGCTGTATCTTGAATGTTGTGGCAGACAGCTCATGTTAGTGGCGCCATCGGTTGCACAACTGGAGGCTGCGAGGTTCGAGATAAAGTGGCCGGTGGGAACGATGTGAAAATGACACATGCACGACAAGATAAAATACAAGATCAGAGAAACCCACAGTTTGCAGCTCATCTTCCACATAGGGGACGAGCTTCGGAACTTCTCTCGGGGCATGTGTGGAAGTGGATGCGTGTACATACGTGGCCTGCCTTCGATACTCGGTAGTTGCTGTTTTCTGAATTTCGTAGAAGTATGCCGGCTCCTATCTGTACTGTCCTCAAGTCCCTAGATGAAGATAAACATCTGTATCAGCAGTGCTAGAGTCGGCCCGGGTCGTGGATTGGCGAATGTCGACCAGGATTTGGGTTTCCATAGATATGTGTCCGGAGTCGAAGCACATGCATCGAGTGGCTGTAGCAGCACAAATTTAGGAGTTCATGTGGAGAGCGGCCCATTTCTCTGTTGATATCATAAGCTCGTGGATCGCAGGATTCCTTCTGCAGCTGTTTTACGGTAAAGGGGGCAGATCAACGTTCCAAGAAATGCGAGCCTGAGCTCTGTTCACAATCGAGTGCCATTTCGATCAATGTTGCTCTTAATGACCTGTGCTCCTGTATAGCCTGTTTCACCTGTACCTTGTAGTTGTTGCCATTTGGAATCTCCGAGTCTCCGTATGAGCTGTTCGAGGATAAGCCGATCCCACTGAGGCGGAGCTGGAAAGTACTTCGAACAGCCAAGGAAATCCTTGAAGCCAAGAGGTTCAGAGTCTTGGACAGCTTATTCCACTGAAGCTTCAGATTAACGAGGCTGATACTCATTTGTGCAGGTCAGGACCGCGGCGTGGAGCATGGCCGGGGCGGAGTGAGCAGAGTCGTGGTCGGTTGTATTCGTGGATTCCTGATGATGGAATCAATGCAATCGAGGAAATTGGGGCTTCGGGGCGGCCTGAAGATAAACTCGTGCCAAGGACGCCAAGTCTTTCCCGATATAGACTAGTCTCGAGGTAGTTACATAAGTGCTGACTGATCTTCTGGGCGCAGCTTTCCATCTCCGTATCCCAAACAGTTGCCTTCATCACTCTCCGCCCCTTTTGATCTGCCTCGGACAGCCTCTGGAGTCCACGGCCGAATCGCATCCGCATACAGGGTATAGCTGCCATTGATTTTGCCTGACTACCTGCAAGCATAGCCATTGATAGCACGTTGCTGTAGCACATTTGTCATTCCCCGTCGCCGAGCTGGCTTTGGATTGGACAACCCGATCATATTTTCCTTGAGGACGATCTGAAATGGGCCTGACAACGAGCCGTTATGTGGTTTCGTCACGATGTCGCGGCCCATTGCACATGGAGTTCCCCGTTTGGAGCTGCGCCAGCGGTCCGCAATGCGTCGATCCGCTCCATCGGCGGGCTGGATGCGAGCGTCGCTTCGGTACCGGTTGGTGAGAGCTCTCTACATGAAACTCGACCCGCCTACTCAAGCTCAAAGAGGCTGCTGTAGGCCAAGAAATTGTTTAGACATCATGCTGCCAACTAATGTCCGATCTGCCTTTTTGGTTGAAGGGGTACATTCATTCCCTTTCCTCCAGCAGATATAAGTTCAGGCTCTTTCTTTCTTTGTAGGATTTGTCTTTTGCCATTCACACAGGAGCAGCTGGAACACAGAGCTACATATCCTCACCATTCAAGCACGTTTCAATCACATCGTCGAGACCTCCGATCATACCGACTAATTATTGCTCCAATGGAGGACCAGACACCGCTCCATATGCAGACAACGGAGTATATGGGACTCCAGACAGAGGAGTCGGCAGATCAGACTGATAGGATGTCAATGGATCATACTGGCCCCATGGAGGAGGCAATGGGAGGAATCAGCAACCCCATGCCGACCTCAGATCCTGATAACCCCCAGAACTGGCCTCTACACCGAAAGGTCTATGTCTCCTTCGTCGCCTTCTCATTCGCTTTTGCAGTGTATGTACACCACTTCCCCTACTCTCAGTATGCTTAAGCTGACACATCGACAGCGCATTTGGACTCACGTCGTACACGATTGGCATTGGCGATGTGGTCGCAGAGTTCAACATCTCAATGACTCTCGCCATTGCTCCATTCTCCCTTTACCTTGTCGGCATTGCTTTTGCCCCGGTCTACACCCCTCATGTGACGGAAAGATTTGGCCGTGCCCCTGTCTACTTTGTCAGTCTGCCAATCTGCGCCTTGTTTCTCCTTGGCTCCAGTCGAGCTCAGAGTATTGGAGCCCTGGCCGTCTTGCGATTCTTCGCTGGACTCGGGGGAGGCCCGTGTCTCGTGCTCATCGAAGGCACATTCGCAGATGTCTGGCCTGCGAGGACTACTGTTACATACTACTCCGGATTGACGCTAGCTTCATACCTCGGGGCAGCTTTCGGTATAGAAATCCCGTTTCCCCTTCTGTTTAGGACAGATACTGATTGATGTCTTTGCCACAGGGCCCATCATTCTCGGGAGCATCGTCCCAAGCACGTCCTGGCGATGGACGGCGTATGTTTCCCTGATGGTCTGTCTCGCGGCATACCTCATCGGCATCGGCGCTCCAGAGACCTATGCTCGAGAGATTGTCCGCACCCGAGCTCGACGCGTGGGCAGACCTCATGACCTTCCCCCTGCTCAATCGGGCACCACTCTCCGCCGCATGGCCCAGCTGACCGTTGTCGACCCCCTGATCATGATATTTACCGAACCCATAGTCATCATGACGACGCTGTACGTGTCCTTTGTCTTTGGCACCACTTTCCAGTGGTTCATCGCCGTCCCCGCGGCACTTAATTTGACGTATGGATTCGGCATCCGATCTTCCGGGCTGGCATTTATCTCCGCTGTGGTGGGCGCTTTGCTCGCCGCCGGCACGGCGACTGTGATCGAGCAGTTCCTGATCCTGTTGAAGATGCGGCAGTGCAAAGACCAGGAGATGGTGCAGATGGAGATCGAGTACAGGCTCGTCCCGGCAATGGTCGGCGGAGTTTTGATGACGGGCGCCTTCTTCTGGGTCGGCTACACGACCGTGCCTTCGATCAATCACTTTCTGCCCATCGTCGGCACAGGCATCTATGTTTGGGGGAGTATGATGATTCTGGTACGGAAACAACCCTTTGCCGTCCTCCTCTTGCTTGCCACTTTTGACCGCTCATCCTCACGCCCACCATGCACCTATGCAACCCCCTCCCCCCCCCCCCCGGTACATACGATGTCGTCGTTATTCCCCCCTGATTTATTGATTGATTGATTGATTGACTGACTGACTGACTGACTGACTGACTGAACTTCTGTTTCGCGCCAAAAAACAGATATCCTACATCTCATACCTCTTCGACGCCTACCCCGCGACGGGCACGCTCTCGGCGCTCACCGTGGCCGCCAGCCTGCGCCTCCTCGTCGCCGCCGTGATTCCCCTCGCCATCATCCAAATGATCACCAACCTGGGCGGCGACTGGGCGTACGGCACCTTTGGCGTCATCTCCGCCGCATTGTACCCTATCAGCATTGTCGTGTTCAAGTTCGGCGCGAGGCTGCGCATGAGGAGCAGGTACGGTGGCAGTGGCAGTGGTAGTGATGGCCGTGATGGACACGGTCTTGTGATGGTCACCCTGCGCACGCATCAGCGGGTTAAATCCACGCCGGCAAACGGCATGGACTCGTCGTGAAGGACTCTCTCTCTCTGGACTGGAGAGAACAGGGCCTGTATTCAGTATCTGCATAGTCGCAGTGGCAAAGAAATGGTCAGGGAATTTGCGATACATAGAGGTTGCAGTTTACAGGTTACAGGAAAGAGAAGGATGGTGGGATATATCTCTGGCTGCTGTTTCGTACATCCCAAAAGCAAATTTCCATCTGTATTTTCCCCCCAAGTTTTCGTTCGTGCCGGTATTTAAGGATAGAATCTGGCTAACTAGCTAGCTACATAACGATCAACTCTCTTTCCGGGTTCCCACCATCCATCCTCTGTCTATTCATGTCATGTCATGTCATGACGGTCCGCCCCGGTAACCGGCCCTGCGCCCCGCGATTGTGATCCTTCCAGACTATCGCCAATCCCTGGATCATCTTCGACTGACAGATTTTCTTCCCATCCAATTTTCCTTCCCATACCGTATTGTCTCATGTTGCCTCATACTGCCTCGTATATCTTGGGAATAGCCGTTCCCACAACTCAGACCCCACATGTAACGGCATTCAACAGCCACCAGTCAACAGCCACCGGCACAAACACAAACACAAACACCCTCTCATGCGCGTGCACAATATCTCACTCTCTGTTTCAATTAGAACCAGAAAGACAGGACACACGCGGCGGTCATGTAGACGCTGAGGAAGGTGTACTGGGCCTCAAAGATCCAGGCGACCCACGAGGTCTGGGTCTTCTTGGACGATTCCTTGGGGTAGGCGACGCCGGTGACGGGGTCCCTGTCGAGCAGCTCCTCCCTGTCGGGGACTGAGGGCGGGAAGAGGGCGTAGTTGATGGGCGCCCAGCAGGCCAGGCCGCAGGTCATCCAGATGATGGGAGGCCACCCCGCGTGGGTCAGCACGTCGATGAGAATTTTGGTCTTCGTGTCGTTTTGCGGGTTGGTGATGTTGGCGTGCAGACTGATGCCGACTGCGGCGAGGATGAACACGATGTAGACGACGTGGAGGTAGCATTGACAGTCCCAGATGGTGACTTTGAGACGTCGCCACAAGGGCGCCCGGAGGCGGGCGTCCCGTTCGTTGAGTTCATCCTTTTGTGAACCGGACGACGTGAAGACGGCGACTTTGCCTCCCAACCACTTGGGAAGGACGAAGGTGCGGATGACCGAGATGGCGTGGACTGAAGGACGTGGTTAGAGGGCTCAAACATGTCGCTGGGGGTAAACTACTCACATGGTGACATCCACAACAGAGCCCTGGTATCTCTCTGGCCAGTGCGATACCCCGAGGGCAAGAAGGAGATCATCTCATTCACACGATTCAAGAGCATGCTGAGGAATGCAGAGCGAATGAGCCATCGCAACTGATTGTTGTCTGCGTATGGGACAAGCTTGCCGCCGGAAGCGAGCACAAGAGGTGCAGTGAACATCGACGCCACGAGGAAGACGGTGAACAGTGAGGAGATTGTGTAGACAAACCCGCACAGTCGCTGGGCGATGGTCATTTGCTTCACCAGCGGACCACATAAGCTGAATCTCAGTTTCAGGGCGGTTTGGACAGTGCCGATGGTCTGTGACAGTTTAGCAACCCGACAAAGGTACAATTTGTGACCGACTTACCCATCTTGTGCGTTGCTTCAAGTGGCTCACCAGAGAATCAGGCACAGTTCCAAATTGCAGGGGCTCGTGGACAAAGGCGGTATTCCAGCCTGAGCCAAGAAGCATGCTTGAACAGCAGACATCCTCAGCAAGAGATCCAGTAGGAAATCCTCCAATCGAGGCGAGGGCAGAACGTCTCAGAACATAGCCTGATCCAGTGCACCAGGCCACACCGAGAGAGTCCTTGATCGGTTCCGCGATATGGACAAAGGTATCCAAGCTCTGGCAGAGAGGATCATCCCTTGGCACATTGTAGAACAACTACGCGAACGTCAGTAAATCCCGCCGTCGCCAGAAGGAAGATACGCCCAACGCACCTGTGGTGGACAGGCCATTGAGCACTTTGGATCCTGAAGCATGTGAGGCAGGAGTGCCCGGAGCCAGTCTTTCATGGGGATCATGTCAGCATCAAGAGCCGCAAGAAAGTTGGCCGCCCCTCCCGGTAGTTTCTTGGTCTCTTCGATAGCATCATTCAAATTGCCGGCCTTGAAGTGATGTGGGACGCCAGGGTATTTCGGTCTTGAGCGGTAGTAGAGGTTCGGATACTGAGTCAAGGCAAGCTTCTCCACCAAATTCCGCAATGATTCAGACTTCCCGTCGTCGCAGACCATGACGCGAAACCGTTCGCTGGGGTAGTCGATGTTGCAGGCTGCTTTGGCGGTATCGAGGATCAGATCATCTTCTTCCCGACAGCAGGTGATGACCACGTCGACCGAAGGAACATTGTCTCCGACCAAGCGAAGCTTTGGCCTCTTTCTCAACCCAATGATATGCCATCCCCAGAGACTCTGCAGCAACACCGGAAGGGAAACCAAGAGCTCGACGATAATGAAAGCCCACGCCATCCAGAATACATCATGTGCGGCATTCTCGGCAGCTACGGTGAACTTGACGCGGAGAACGAAATACAACCAGTTGGCACCAATTGTAATGATGACCAAGAGTGGGCACAGCCTGTAAAGGATGCGTTTGAGGGTTGAGAGTCGCTCGATGTCGTCGTGCATTGCGAGTCTCTGGATCAAATAGTCATCCTCTTTCTCACTCATGCCTGGGCGAACCGTAGAATCGTCCGAGAAGGCTTGGGAGGTTCGGGCAAGCTCTGGAGCGGATATAGCGGGGATTTCGGACGTTTCGCAAGAGTAGCGGCGGGCATCAAACTGGCCTGGTGCAGAGTAGCCAGCCGAGGAAACGCCTCGGATTTCGTTGATCGCAAGCCCCAGAGGGTTGCCTTGCGTTACTGTAAGGGGATCAACCTTATGCGCGACATCGACTATGGCAACGGAAGCCCGTTTGGTGATATTGGACATCCTTCTGCGCATCTCGTTCGTGTGCGACGAGGTACACGCTGTAGCATGTGTGTTGGCAGAAGAGGCGTTGGAAGGATGTCGCAAGACGGGAAGAGACCATTTCAGGTGTTCGGAGGCGGTGGAATTCTGCTCAGGTCAGAGCGACTCTCTCAGATAAACAAGTGTAACTGCATACCTCGGCATGATCGCGAGTGTCGACATCATGCGGCCTATCCGAGGGGCCAGCATCCCCAGTTGTTCCATCTCCGGTTGCTTCCACAGAGGACACCGTTGAAGCACGACGAGCCCGGGTCGAAGACGCCGTTGACGAACTCCTAGAGGAGGGTGATCCCATGGTTGCTACGTACCTGGGTAATGCTCGAGGACTGAGGATGGACGTGCAAAAACCTCGGGGTAGATCCCAGATTTATGCGCATGAAGTATGTGGCGATGGAATTCGAATTTGGCTTTACTTCCACATGGAAAAGCATTCATCTTCTCCTGTTCATGAGGACATGCAGCAGAAAGTTTTGCAGGCCTCCGACCCCTCTCCAGAACCGATCGACACGGCTTCAGCGAACTCATGTTATTCGTCTGTCCTGAAAGAATAGAAGATTAGATCCGTAGGTTGTCGACGGTACCGACGAGCTGAATACCTTGAAAGAACATAGCAGAGCCCCGAGATGGCTTATGCTCTGGACATTGCGTCTGGCCAGCACGAACCATCACAGCCGCAGGTGATATGCATGAGCTTATTACGGATTTTCCGCCTACCAGAGTTGGGTGGTGCATGCAATTCGCCAGTCGGGAAAGGTCAGAAGATGACAAGCCACGCCAGCCCTCGTGCTCCCATCGGCTATTAGTGTTGGAGTTCTGGATCCGCAAAGGTGAGCTATGGCGACATGGCGAGCCCGTCGATCTGGACTGGAGGTCCTCATGGATTCAAGACGGGCCGATCTGGAAGTCAGAAGGCTTTTTTGATACTGGATTGATTCACAGGCTGCCAAGATGAGAAGGACGTGCATCTAGCGCAGCCGCCATGACGAGCCTGAGTAGCTGGCCACTGTCCCTCATCAGTCACTTGATTCTGCTGAAGCGCGAGTTGTGCCCAGTTGCTCTCATCACGAGTTTGACACGAAATCGCAGTTGTTGCCAAGCCTTTATGCCAAGAAATGAGACCCACAAAACAGATCCATTAAAGGGGGAACAGAGCCTTACGTGCACGTGAGATACGAGATGGCAGAATCCATTCCACAGCAGTCAATTTGTTCTGCTCTTCTCTCTACATACAGGGGTTCCCCAGAGACCATACCAAGCAGAGTCTCAAGGAAAAGTCAGACCAGGCTGATGCATTGAGTTATATAGCCACCCGTCTACTTCCTACTCTCCTCATCCACCCCCTTCGACATGAACCCCCCAATCCAAGATAGCACCTACTTGCCTAACCCTCTACCAAGACACCATCGACCTGCTTCTCGTCCGGCCCTAATAGTCCCAAAGCCTCTCGTCTCGTCGGCGCACTAGGGTCAAAGAAGGGCTTCTCCGCCAGAGAAGTGACCCGTGTACCATGTCGCGGGTAGTTGCCAGCATAATCCCAAGAAGCATTATGGATCTTGGAGAGAGTTAGCAAGTCAGCAGTTGAGAACGGGTTCAGCCATGGAAAGCGACAAAACTCACCGTGATTCTGTTATCCCAAAGAGCTGGTTTCGAATCAAGATTGGCTCCGTTAGCGGCCAACAAAATGAACATGATGAGACAACTGCTGTTGATGGAAGGGGGGAAGACATACCACTCGTGCCCGGCGTCCATTTGAACCGAACCTGGATATCGACATTCCTCTCGTACACGTCGTACAGGTACCCCAGGATGAGATCACTCTCGGGCTTGTCAAGCCCGACGATTCGATCAGTCATGGCTCTGTTAACCCACAACGCCTTCCAGCCGGTCGCCGGGTGCACGCGGACTAACGGGTGAGTTCGTTCGATGTATTTCGGCCCGCCGGTTGGGTTCTCACGGTCGAGGTACGGATGAGCTGACCGGTACACGGCGTACTTACCGTCGATCAATTTTCGAAAGTCTGGCGACAGCTTCTCGTAGGCTGCATAGCCGCTGGCCCAGAGCGTGTCTCCCCCGATGGGTGGGACGGTGTCGTTGTGGAGGTGAGTGATGCCCGCGGGCTGTCGTTCGTGGACCAAATCCGTGTGCCACCGCGAAGCGCCTCCGGGCTTGCGGAAGCTGGCCGGGAACTCTTGCGCTTGCAGGGCTGGCCAAATTACCGTGACGCCAGGAACACCTGGGACTTGAGGGACTTGAGGCTATAAGTTTCCGACAAAGGAGAAACAAACAGGATTCAAATCTTAGCACAGGGAACCACTTTCAACTATGTCAAGAAGGGTCTGATTTACATGGATCTCAACCTCGCCATAGTATTCTCCCAGCGCCTTCTGCTGCTGCGGCGAGATGTCTTGATCTCGGAAGAAAACCACGCTGCGTTCGGCGATCAGCAGCGCCAACTCATCCTTTTGCTGGTCGGTGAGGTCCTTGAGCTGGAGCCCCTCTATCTCGGTGCCAATGTAGGCCGTCAGGTCGGTGACCTTGGTCGCGGCGGAGAACAGAGCGCTCTTTGACTTGTCGGCGCGAGCACCGGCGTCGACGTGCTTGCGCTCGCTGTTCCGGATGTTGTACACGTCTTGGAGATACAACGGCCGATTCGGGCGGTACGGGTATCCGTTTGAAAGATCGATGCCCGCCTTCACGAGTCTCTGGTACGCCGGCTCGGGCAGTCCCAAGGTGTCTTTTTTCTGGACGACAAAGTCCGTGATGGTGGGATCAATGGGTGCTGGTGCCATTATGAGAGATGGATTGAACTCTTCTGCCCTTTTTCACAGGACAATGATTCCTCTTGAGAGAGACAAACGGGGTAAGGAAGGCTTCGTTCTAACGATCAATTACCGAGCATCTCTTTTTCAAGCAGCAGCACTGGAACAAAAGAGTTTCAAAGATTACTCCACAAATCCCGACTTGCTTACAGAGCCAGATTGCCAGATTGCCAGGCTACGACCTCAGTACATTTGCTCAGAGACAACAAGATTGCGATATCAGAATCCCTCATTGCGTGCCCGCCGCCGGTTATCGAACGTTCCGTCCACTTACGGAGGAGAAGATCGATTAGCTGCATAAAGACGGACGAAAGCTACTCTACCGATTTGCAACCACCTCTCCCAAGGGGGCAAAAGCTACCCATCCACCCACACCCCCTCCCCAGGAGAGAGACACGCTCACGCCCTTTCTGTGGCTATACAGAACCATCCCAAACCCCCGCTTTTCCAGAGAGGTTCCTTATCGTTCCAATCAATACCATGTCAACGTGTGGGTGTCTCGATACTCAGCTGATCTCTACAGAGCGATCAGGGGAGGTACATGGACCGGTCCGCAGCCGCAGTCACGTGGGGGCAAATGGCGTGCTTTAACCCCCCTATTTGCTGCTCGTCCATCGACAGAGATCCTTGCTTTCTGGCAATCAACAATAATGCAATGCGTGCGACGTGCACGACGTGGTATCATCTGGCCGGTGGGGAGGGGGCCTTATGCAGACGCTCTCAAAGGGTTCGTCGCCATCATCCTTGCATTGGACAACCAACGCAGATCGCCCCCTTCCCCCCCGGCTATAAGGAACACTAGAATGACTCGCTACACCGAGTACGCCGTTTGCGCACATCGCGGCCGAGCAATGTGCGTCGACCAGGGTTCGAGAGCGTCGGCAATGAGGAGCACGCAATATCTCGTTAAAAGGTGCGATGGCCTAGAGGGGGGGAGACTCTATGGCCCGTTTATGTGCTGGGAGGTGCCTCCGTAAAGAAGCTTTCAGAAACAAAGAAGAAAAAGCCCAGAGAAAGTTTAAAAAGGGATCTTCGAAGGAGGTCATTGGCATATCTCTCCAGCGGAAAACGAATTGCCCACGGAGAGGAGCAAAAGTGGGAAAGCCACTGGGCTGGGCACCAAGAAATACCAAGATGTCCTTCTACGAACAGAGCAAAGAGATCACCGTCAAGGGGGTCGAGACCGATCTGTCGACGACGCCGGTGGCGGTGGACGAGACGTTTAGCTCCAACAGCAAGATCTCAGACAACACGATCCAGGCCAAGCCAAAGCGCAAATGGCAGTCGTATGTCTGGGACACGCTGGACAAGTCGCCCGAGGAACGACGGTTCCTGTTCAAGCTCGACGCCGCGGTGCTCACGTTCGCCACCCTGGGGTACTTCATCAAGTATCTCGACCAGATCAACATCAACAATGCGTTCGTGTCAGGCATGAAGGAAGACCTGGGCCTTTACAAGAACCAGTTGAACTATATGCAGACATGTTGGACCGTGGGATATGTCATTGGCGAAGTGCCGTGTAAGCAGTGATCCCCTTGGGCCAGCCAGACGGGCTCCCAGTGAATGTGACTGACGGACCTGTAACAGCAAACATGATCCTCACCCGCGTCCGTCCGCGAATCTGGATCCCGCTCATGGAGGTTGTGTGGGCAGTGTTGACCTTCTGCCTCGCAAAGTGCAACTCCGCCGGCTCGATCTATGCCCTCCGGTTCCTCATCGGTCTTGCCGAAGCGACATTCTACCCAGGCATGCAATACGTAATCGGATCGTGGTACCGGAGAGATGAATTGGCCAAACGGTCCTGCATTTTCCACACCTCGTCCGCCATTGGGAGCATGTTTTCCGGATACCTCATGGCCGCCGTCTACCACCTCGGGGGCAAAGGAGGCTTGAAGGGCTGGCAATGGCTCTTCGTGGTGGACGGAATAATCTCTCTCCCAATTGCTCTCTCCGGGTTTTTCCTGCTTCCTGACGTTCCCGAAATCACCACGGCATGGTATTTCACCCCGGCGGAGCGCGAGTATGCGCGCAAGCGGATGGAGCTGGAAGGCCGCGCCCAGAGAGCCCCGTACACCAAAGCCAAGTTCAAGAAAATCTTCACATCTTGGAAGATTTACATGTTGGCGGCCTTGTACATGACCTTCAACAATGCCGGAGCAGGAGTCAGCCAGCCTACCTTTGCACAGTATCTCAAGGACTCGACACATCCCAAGTACACCATCTCGCAGATCAATACATATCCGACCACCACATATGCCGTGCAGGTGGTCAGTACTCTCATCTATGCTTGGACCTCGGACACCATCTTCCGCGGCGCCCGATGGCCCCCGATCGTCTTCGGAGGTCTAATATCGATAGTTTCCTACGCGAGTCTTGCAGCCTGGGACATACCAGTTGGGTGGCACTGGGCGTGCTACATTCTGGCCGGATGTGGTGGCGGCCTGAGTGGCTTGTGCATGGCTTGGGCGCACGAAATTTGCACAGATGACAATGAAGAAAGGGCAATTGTGGTGGGGACCATGAACGAGTTGGCCTACGTGTTTCAAGCTTGGTTGCCGCTAGTAGTGTGGCAGCAGATTGACGCCCCGAGGTACCACAGAGGGTTTATCACTTCTGCATGTTTGAGCGCCGGTATGATTGTGTGCGCGTTGGTAATTAGGGTCTTGTGGAAGTGGGAGCTGGCAAGAAAGAGAAAACTCGGCGCAGTCGTGTGATGAATTCGGGATATTCGAGGGCCAACCTAGGTGTCTGGAAGACTAGAAGTCTGGAGAGGTCCGTAGACAGGTGTGTAGCTGAACAAGGGCCCGAGGTGGATAGTATTCAGATGTGTCAACGCCGTCAATGAGGTCTTGATGAACCGAAATCATTACCGACAGTGTTGGCTGGATTGTGTACATTTGTCATCCCTCGATGAAGTTATCGAGCATAAGGTGTCATAACGCCGAGGGGGTCGGTCAAATTATAGTTTGGCCAAAAGCACAACACCTATGGCGTGCTTGGAAGAGGGTATTTGCTGATATGTACCCTCTCGTGAAGGGAACTCGTCAGACCACCTTTGATTGGTAGGCCCTGTAATGAGACACCACACACCCGCGGCTTCTTATAGTTCTTAAGGCGGGACGAGCCACTTGCAAGGATCTTTCTCGAGGGTGATATTATCGGAGAAACATCTTTGATAACCTTCCGCAAACCATGGTCCAAAATAGGAGTAACCGAGTCGCCGTGATAGGTGCCGGTATCAGCGGCGTCTGTACAGCTGCACACCTGTTGAAACACGGCCTCGAGGTGGTTCTATTCGAGAGATCAGGAATCGCCGGCGGAGTATGGCACTTTGACGAGCGTTCATCAGTCGATCCCTCCTACCCGAATGAGCTCCCATCGAAAGGCGACTATGAGACAAGGCCTGAGCTCGCATTCAGCACTCCTCCACCGGAGAACGAGGACAACGACAAGCTGGAGATTGCTCATGCACCACCAGGGCCATGTTATGCTGGCCTGAAGAACAACGTCTCAACCAGGGAGATGAGAACAAGTTTGCTCGCGTGGCCTGAAGGCACTGAGGATATTGTCAACCAAAACGTATTGGAGGAATACATCCAGAACATTGCACTCAAGCATGGCGTCTCCGCAGTCACACAGTACCATACTCGCGTTGAGGAGGTGCGGAAGGATCTTGGTGAGTGGGTCGTGCGGACGACAACGCTGCAGAAAGAGCCTCTGGGGTCGCGATTGGTAGAACGACGCTGGACATTTGATGCCGTGGTCGTGGCATCAGGACATTACCATATGCCACGTATACCCAACTTCCCGGGGCTCCAAGAGTGGAAGCAAGGGTGGCCCGATCGAGTCTGGCATTCGAAAAGATACCGCAATCCCCGAATATTCAAAGACCAGAACATCCTTCTCGTTGGTGCTGGCGTATCGTCGAGCGACATCGCCAAAGAATCAGCTGCCTACGCCAAGCAGATTTATCAGAGTTCTCGAAACGGAGCTTTCGACGTTCCTAGTAGCTTCTTACCATCAGGCGCCACGCGAATCGGGCCCGTTAAATCCTTCCAACTGAATGAGGACCGCGATGTCAATGCTCCAGCTTCAGGACCAATTCCCGGAAAGGTAATTCTCGAGAATGGCGAGGCGTTGACGGATATCCATTCAGTCATCCTTTGTACAGGATACATAACCTCCTATCCGTTCCTCCCACATCTGCACCGGGACGACATTCCGGCCGGTGAAGCAGACGAATTTGTGCTCGTCACCGCCGAAGGTGAAATGGTGCACAACCTGCACAAGGACATATTTTACATTGAGGATCCCACGCTTGCGTTTGTCGGGGCTCCATACCACATTGCCACATTCTCGTTTTTCGAGTTCCAAGCCCAGGCGGTCGCGAGGGTATTGAGTGGTAAAGCCGAGCTGCCACCCAAGCAACGAATGCGCGAAGAGTATAATGAGCGGGTACGGACCAAAGGCTTGGGGAGAGACTTTCACAGCCTAGCAGAGCTTGGGGCTGAAGAAGCATATGTGGAAGATCTTGTCCGATGGGTCAATGAGGATGCTGCTCGGCTTGGAATCGACGACAAAATGCAGGGTCATACTCCGGAGTGGCTTCTTGCTAGGGTCGACCGAAATGCAAAGTGGAAAATGTGGCTGGATGCAAAAGAACAAGATCAACAAGAGAAGGAGACCAGGATTGGAGTTAGAAAGCTGCCCATAACTGTCTAGGTAGAGAGGGAGAGATGAGGGAGACTAAGGGGGAGACGAGATGCGCGGAGCTCGGTGGATGGAGCACGTGGAGCACGTGCAGCACTTTGAGGTAGACCTTGGCTTAATGATCCGCACTAGATAATTCACTAGACAAGACCTGCGCGCCACCGTACCTAGATTCTCCAAAATTTCCAAGCTGCGATTTATTGCGCAGGTCATTCATTTAGCTAGAGAGCAGTTCCAACTACTTTTCAGATCTACACCATCATCCATCGCCCTTTGTCCTCGTTGCACATTCTCCAAACTTAAGGGAATTTTCACTCCGCAAAGTTGAATAGCCCAAGACACCCCCAGCAGTCGACTCTCCAACACTTCTTTCCACAATGCCTCCCAAGCGCATCACAGTACAGCCCGCGACCCGTCGGTCCCAACCCAAAGGCTGGTTCGGCCAGGTATATCATACGTTGACCTCCGAGGAGAACTCGAGTGTTGTCATCAGTGTGGCCATGTTTGGAGTGAGTTTTCTCCTGCTAGAATCGCCTCGCGCGGACACTCCCTTTTCCTTTTCCAATTCAAGCGGTCCTCCACTCTTGACGATCATTGACTGACCTTTTCTTTGTTTAGGCTGCTGTCGCATTCTTCAACTCGGAATGGAGTGAGATGCTTCTCCCGGGATTCTAAGCCACCTTTTTGCACCATGTTCACAACGAATCATCTCGCTACTCCGACTCCAACCGCCAGTTCTGCAGAGAACGGCACCACTCAGGCGTTATTTGGTGCCGCACCGGCCCCGGCCGCTGACGACATCGCATGTATTATAAGGAACGAATGTACAAAATCAGGAGGGAGAATGGCCAGTGGATTGAGCGGCCGCGCAGGAGGGATTCGCGATGAGGCGGATTCGGATTGATGTGACTTGAGTGTCGGGACAAGGACGATTAATATCGCACTTTCTCATGGTGGCTAGTTGATCCGCGACCAAGGTTGGAGGATCCATCTACACAGTCGCGTGGTCGCGCAGAGGACTACACCGGTAGCCATTCCGTCAATTATACTCCGCTTCAAAAAAAAAAGATACTCAGAGGCGAAACTTACATGCGCCGCACTTGGGAAACAAATCCATCCGAACGTTCCATCCCTTCCGTCGGAAAGAAAACTACAGTCCTTATTTACAGCTTCCAAGAGAGACAAACGAGCAGCCATGCATTCTTTAGTGAAGTTCGTGAATGATATGATATACAGATGCCAGATCCGCCATACACTCAATCACATGTACAAGCCAGTCTCATCTCGTCCCATGTATCTACAATCTCGCCGTTACAACTCGCTTCGCCGAATCTCGTAGATATACTTTCGTCAGTCCTCCTCCCAATAAATTGGTTCGAAATGTTTCGACTCGTATCGAGTACAAGGTGCATGTATACTATATTTACCGACTACATGTACCAACTACGTGACGGACCGAGAGCTCGCAAAGTGCATCGTTCAATCTGTTACAAGCGCATTCGCTGGTACAGACGGCGGGTATGAAGTGAATATTTGATTGGTACCTAACTCGTGGACGTACGCGAGTATCTCGGACGGTCGTAGTATTACATATATGTATCCCGGTTCATATATACGTACTAATACCCGGATATCCTCACTCCGTAACTCGCGTCAAAAATTCCCTCTCTCTTATAGACATTGGGTCAGTAATGGACAGCAAGTACTGGTCCGCTCCACGAACCCCGTAAATGTCAATCGATCTGAGATCATCTGGCCTGACCTGGTCATAAAAGCGACGAAGCCCATTCCCATTTTGCCCCTGGTCACTTCCGGGATCAGTTAATGCATCATCGTCCAACAGGCGAGCGAGAACTTTTCTCCCTTCTTCTCTTGAACTCAAGAGTGCCTGCTTGTACACCAGGACATATTTTGTCGCCGTTGCAAAAGCAAAACTCGACAATTTCCCTCCCACACTGGATCCGGCCGGATGGGCTGCTTTTTGTGTTGCACTGGTGTCAAAAAAAAGAGGAAATAGAAAACAAAACAACATACGCAGCTCGAGGGAGCAATCCGCCGCAAGAAGCTGGGATATCTCCAGTCTTGAGAGTGACAATGCTCTTCGGTATTGCCGGTGCTGACAACTCCACCCATCAATCTAACTTTTCTCTCATGTCCCATAGCCGCTCCCATTCGTCATGGCACTGGGCATCAGGGACTCTGTGGCCCCTTCAGCCTCATCCTCCAAGAAGTCTCTCTTCATCGTCCTCGCCTTGATCGATGTGAACGTCACCAGCGCGGAGCCCACAATCACCGCGATGCTCATAAGGATCACGTTGACAGGGATCGGGTTATTGTTGAACACCATATGCGTGACTGCATCCAAAGGGCTCTGCAAGAAGTTGAAGAGCCCTGCGAGGCAGATTATGAGACCGTAAACTTTGCCAAAGGTCTGAAACCCGAATACTTTTGCGGAGTAGTCCGAGACAGTGGTATAATAAAAGGGCCGGTACACGACGAAAAGGCAGACGTTGGCGATGGCCGCCCACATATAAGGGAGGCAGCCCAGTACACCAATAATGGTGGCTACGACCACCAGAAATCCCAAGGCGAAAGGTGTGGATGTGTTGTCCAACAACAGGCCAATAAACGGGATGCTCAAAACACCTCCCAGAGGAAGTGCCACGTCGAAAAAGTCATTCACCAATTTCGCTCTCTCGGGAGAACCTAGAAGGTAACGTTCTTGCGGCCGAATCGTGGCCACAAAGTAATTGATCCGCGTCATCTGCACGACAGTAAAGCACGTGATGAGCCAGAACCATGGCGATTTGATCTGTTGAAGGGCGGAATAGCCATGCATAGCTCCCCACACCCCGGATCTCGCGTTCTTGTGCTCTTCTCTCTTCTGGCGTTTTGTGTTGGTCGACTTGTCCAGGAGTAAGGATATCTCCTGGATAGTACTTTCTCTTCGTTCTTGCAGAGAGCGACGTTCATCTTCGGATGCTTCGGGTGGGGTGGGAGCGTTGACTTGCTCTTCAGCGTCCTTGACCACTTCACTTACAGTTTTGTACGAGTCCTTTGGCATTATAAAGACCTGGACGATGAAGATGAAGATAGGCACGATGAGATAGAGGAGGAAGAGGCGGTGGGTGTTCAGTTTGCCGCCGGTGGCTTCGTAAATGAGGCGGAAGATGAGGAAGAGCGCTGATGAGGAGTCGAAGGCACCCGTCAGGAGCGCCAGTATAAGCCCTGAGTTTTGTGGAAAGGTGTTTGAGAGTTGAAAGGAAGAGATAAAGACGAAAGGACCGCCAAGGGCCAGGAAGAAGTATCCTGGAGTAAAGAGGTCACCGTCAACCTGGGAGGCGAAGGAAAAGAGCAAGGCACCGGTGGTCAGAAAGATGCTGCCTATGATTCCACAGGCCTTGGGTCCGTACTTGTCGAGGATGGTTCCGATAGGGAGGGCTGCGACATTGGTCGAGACAGCTGCCACAGTGAACATCAAGTTCAACCGAATCTCCTGCTTGTAACATGGCGAAACGTGTTGGTCCACCTCTTCTGGCGTACACAGGTCTTTGAAGACGCCTTCATCGATCAAGACAGGTTTGATGGCCGCGTAGCCGAAAACTATTCCGGCCGCGAACAGGCAATATATTATGGCAACAACAACCTGGACTGTGGCAGCACAGGCCTGTCAGCGGGGATCTTGTGCGTCCCTTACATGGGTCATTCACATACCTATGCGCTTTCGCTTCGAAACTTCTTCAAACTGCAGAGCAACCGAGACCAGACTGGGTTTCCGGTCCGTGGGCGGGATCCATTCGCTGACAGGATTGAAACTCATTCTGCGATGCGAAGAGACGTGAGAGCCTCTTCTCTCACGCTCGAAGCCATCGACCGACGCAACTCGCGTGAGCGACATGGCGGAGTCACTGGCCGCAGCCGAGCAGAATGAATTGTGGCCGGCTTGGGAGTGGGGATGGGGAAATGTCGTGCAGCCAAAAAAAATGCGGAGTGGCCAGTGACGAAGGGTGCTGCTGTGAGAGGACGAGATCCGATGACGAGGTGACGTGCGGAGCGAAGTCTCACAAAAAGTTAAGATGAGATCGAGGTGTTGACGATGGTATCATGGGTAATATAAGAACTGACAAGCGGTGTGGAACAGGCGGATTGAAAGAGCTTTATTAGTACTTTGATTGACACTTGAAGAGCTTTTTGCAGCTGTGATAAGATAGAAAATTATGCGCTCCTCAAGCCACGCATCAAAGACACTGTGCCCCAGCTTGACAGTTTCCCAGACAGATCCTGATAACGATAAGGAAATTTTTGCAGTCATAGGTACCGAGTAGCTGTCGATGTATTGGATGGACGGACCATTTGGTGGAGCCAATGGACGGGAAACGTCGAAGCTCTAAGCACCAATCAAGCACTAACCGGGAACCAGTTGGCGGGCAGCTCATCAATTGGCCATCCAGGCGAGAGCCACCAATTGGCGGCTTTAGGTGTCCGGGGGCTGGAGCTTGCGAGCCTGGAAGCCGCCGATGATCAGTGTCCTGCACAGGCACGGCAGGCCAGGCGAGTGGCAGCCTCCGATTGCCTTCGCTGCCTTTCGAGGTTGGAATCAGCTCAGTGCCACGTACCGAGGACCTTGTCAAGCTTGTCAAGATCTTGACGAGACACCGGGTGACTTGCTATTGGGTACTCGGTACCAGGTACACCATTTACCGACGTCGAAAATCTCTTCTGCTGTTGAAACGCCAACCAATGTCCAAGGCAAGTCCTAGTCTGACCAGACGCGCCCTCAACAAATCGCAGCGCTGAGACTGAATGGCCATGAGGTTGGCGGCAACGCAGCTTGGTGTAGAAGAGAAGGAAAATAGCCGCCCAAGAGCAAGTGCGTAGATGGCGTATGGCAGGCACAATGGCCCGAAATAGACTCTTGGCGCCCTGGCCGAAACAGCCTCGTCGTGGTCCAGAGCAGACAACCACCATCCGTTATGGGATCCATTCCCTTGGTTTGAGACTGGCCAGAGACATCAGAGACATCAGCTGGCTTCATCTCTCAGCATGCAACACGTCCACAATGTTTCGGTATTCATCCATCGATATTGATCACCATCTCAAATACTTAAGAAGCCATGGTCGCCCTCCATTTCGCTGGTCCAGTTCTTCATTCTCTGAACCAGCTGCAACACACTTCCTCTGAACCAACGCATCTGTTTCCGATCCAAGAAGCATTCCTTAGATTATCTTTCAGTCTTCAGACGCAGACGCAATATACTCTCCTTCTTTGTTTGTACACCTATTGGCTCGACGCTATCCACCACGTTCTCTAGCTGCGTCGTTTCACGGTCACATTCCCTTCCTTGAATCATATACCATCTTTTCTATCGTTATATCTCAACATGGGTCCTGACCACGGCGTCCTCGGTGCGACATTCAAAGTCACTCGGGCTCTTCAAATGGCGTCCATGATCGCCGTCATTGGAATCACAGCCAATTTCATTTCGGAGATGGTCAACGCTGGAGCAACACCGCCCTCGGTCCTCGTCGCTATCCTGAGCATTGTAGGTGTCAGGTCTGTCCACAGTCAGCAGTATTGTCCTAACCAGGCGCTTTAGGTGTG